TGAAATGTGATGAATTGTTTAAATTTTAAACAAGTAGAGTTTGCTCCACCTTCGTTTTCACACCTTATCTATATTGCTCAATTTCATATAACCACTTTGTATTGATGACAAGACCATATTGCTTAAAAAGCCTACCCATGTTGATTTAATATTTGGTGAAAATTGATGAACAAAGAGTTTGCCGCGGTGTTGATGCATCGCCTCAAAGGTTTTCTTGTTGCTGTACTAATGTGTCTTCAGGACACATTCAGCAGTTCCTAAGTGAATAATTCAACACTTACATCGCCACAAAATATTATAAATTCATTTTTCGACTTACTACTGATTTTGTGCCAGTGTTGGGCCTGTTGGCACACCTACCCACTCTAAAACATTTCTAACATCATCCGCGAGGAAAGTTTGGAATATTTGCAATACGAGATTTAATTTGTATGCGTGGCTCGACCGATGTCCACATGTATAAATTACCTGCATATTTGTCTTGTTCATACATCAGAGATGATTTTATTTGCTCTCAGTTTTCTGACAAGCTTATAATAAAAATCTTTGTCGCATAGGAAATTAGGGTATGTATTTGAAAAGCGACGATCCTTTAATGCAAATAAAACGAATATTTACGTTTACTACTATTTCTCGTGAATATTGATATCAAATATGTACAATAACACTACAGAAAGTAAGAATTTTGAAAAAGAAGTTTCCCAAAAATAAGAACAATTTATATTTTCAAAGGTCTTTCAAGAGCCTGCATGGCCGATTCTTGAAAACGCTACAAAACGTGTTTTGGACGTCTTTCGACGAAGGACAGCGCGGCCGTCTAAAAATAGCAACCAATGGAAAATGACATAACATTGTCAATGTTAGCTTTTCGTAGGCCTTCTCAGCCATCGTCTCTTTGGCCTGAACTGGCTCGTATATTGCGATATGCGAGACGGGGCCCAGCTTACCATCTTGCCATGACTGATGCTTCACCTGATTTGAACATTGAGAACCTTTAAAATGGACCATGTGCCAAATTTAAATCATGGTAAGTGTGATGAAACTTTAACCAAGTATATATATTTATTACAAGTTTTATTGTTTTAGAAAATCTCCCAAGTACACTGAACATTTAAGTTGTATTACAAAAGAACTAGGTATGACGACATGATTTGTGTCATTAGGGGATAGTTTGTTGACGGGAAAACTGTATCCTAATTAACCCTCACCTTCCCTGGATAAGTTGAGATCACCTCAAGTTATTATCAAATAATATAATACTTGCATTTTAATCTGGTGATTAAGTCGAAAGATAAAATTGAAAATTACCATATCATAACTGGAACAAGGTATGTTTTGTTCTGGTGCCAATGTGCATGGATACACAAAGCAGACCATCTCTTATTTTGCATGTGAGTTACAGAATTCCTAAATATACTGCTAAATATTATGTTCTCACTAATAATTAAACATTGTCTCTCTACCATCTATGACGTGTGGGTTCTCTCACACTAATAATTAAACACTGTTTCTGTACGAACTATGAAGTGTGGGTTCTCTCACACGAATAATTAAACACGTGTTCGTGTTCGATGCTGTTGATGAAGTCAGTGTATGAAATAAGCCAAAAATCCAGCCAGACATTTGGTCTGGTTAAATCCATTTTGGGCTGGTAACATTTTGAAGTTACCAGCCCAAAATGGATTTAACCAGACCAAATATGGTCAGATGCCATGAAACATCTGAAAATTTACTCAGATTTACTCAGATGCATGAAACATCTGAATTTTTTTACCAGACCATCGGCCTGGCTAGCTGTACATTTAGACCATCTGTCAGAAATCTAGACCGTCTCAGGCGGTCGGACAGGCCTTATTTCATACACTGATGAAGTTTGGATATAATTACAAACACCTTTGCTCAAGTATTCCACAAGTTCAGCTTATAACATGGTAACACGACTAATGACTTCACTTGGTTGACACATTCATGAAGTCAACTAATTACAAAAGTGCTGTCAACTATGACTCCAGTGTGTCTGATATACCAGAGACAGGGTGGCATGTGTGTTGTTTAATGTAACACTGACATCGGCATCCAGCTATAAGACAGGTGCCCGTAAAACATCAAGGACCAGACAATACTGTGATTGACACTGTGAACAACGACCTGTGCTCCTATGCATGACACACAATCAAGCTTGTCACTGAGCAAGCTGAGTCTGACCACCCAATCCATGGACAAACCTCTTTATAGTTTGCTGGGGGAGAAGTCTAACCACTAGTGCTGGTATTGGCATACAACCTGTGATACGATACATCATGATGCTAAAATTTTAGTCACGACGATATATTGCCAAAGTATCGTGCACTGAAGCTGCGATACAATACGTATCACGATACTAAAATCTTTAATTCTAACACCAACTATAAAACACCTGAATATCAAAACAAAACCATTTCAAAGTATTTCGTCAAATTCTGCCAGCGTTTTTCAATGTTCGTTCGGAAACGAGATAATTAAGTTTACACACAGACTTTGTGAATTATAATAACATGTGAGCGATATGTCTGACACAGTTCTTGACGCAAGAATTTCCGAGAAAACGTTTACTTATGAAGGGAAAATAAGTAAGCAAATATTTTAATCAGCAAACAAAAGTGAGTCTTTTTTCTTGACAGATATCGCGATTCGGCAATATTCAAAGTTAAACATCGATGTATCGTTACCCATTTGAAGTATCGTATCAGGATTTACGACAATGTAAAACTTTGTATCGATTCACTGTATTGGCGGCCCATGGATCGATGTATCGATGCATATCGATGAATCGTCACACCACTACTAACCACACATCCGCACAGGTTCAGAGCTAAATAAAACTGTTTGAGAGGCATTCTAGAAGTTGTAAGTAATAGAAATGACAAGTCTTTATGGATGATCAACTTCTTTATTGTGCAATCGCAGCGTTTCGGTATAGATACTTATACCGTTTTAAGGCATGAGGAAATTGGTATACCGAGCGTCGTTATTGCACAATAAAAAAGTTGGATCATCCATAAAGACTTGTCATTCTCAAATGAAACTAATTTTTCACTACAATGGTTGAAAACATTTGTTTTAAAGTATGTCAACAACATTATATATATCAGCATGGGCAATATGTGCTAAACAAACAGTGTTCACAAAGGCATAAAGGCATTGTTTAGAGAGTCTACATATGTTGTCTTCCTGACCACAATCTCTCAACATGCTAGCATTCTAGAAGCTGGTAGAGTGAATACATATGGTGCTGGCTAGAACTGTTGAGATAAAATATCGTCTGCTAGGCTGGTGGTGCCCCTCTGCGCACGGAAGTGACATTGAGCAAGATCTGCGCACAGAAGTGGGTTTGCTTGGTAATTTACTGAGCGCATGGGTGAACTTGGGCCAGCTAGCAGGACAGAATGTTTAGCCTTGTATTATGTGAAATAAAGAGAATAAAGACTTTAGTGAAATCAACAAGAATGACCACAATCCCTTATGACGTAATTTGTGGAACATTTTTACCAAAAACAATGCTCTGTGGCGTCTGAATGTTACTGGGTTATCGAGTGTGCCTAGGCTCCTCTCAGTGTTCTGTCATCTCTATACGCATTGTCATTGTGTAAGCCAAGCACTGTGGGAGTTTACATGTTCAACATGTTAACATACACGATGGCAGTGCATTTCACACAAGCGACAGTATATTAAAGCACTTTTTGTACAGGACTAAATGAATTATAAATGGGAACTAACATATATATTTTTTTTGTCATTCAGTAATTTGCATTATTACACAGGAATGGAGATTATTTAGTATATTTTTAAGAATGCATTACATTGGACACATCAGCAATTTTGGGGCCGATTCGGTCAATTTATTTTATTTATTTGGGTTATTTTGAGTTGCTTAGGGCTTAGGGTTAAGTTTTGGCTTAGGGACCTAATCCAATAGATTAGATGTCTGGTATGTTGCATGTACCTTTTGTTGTTGTTTTTCCATTCACATTTTTTTATACCTTTTTTCACACAAAAATGTAAAGTACATAATGAAATGGTTTAATGTCGAAAATTTAGGCTAATGGAAATTGTCCTAGAACTTGTACTTGAACCAGTTTCACATTTGTTCAGCAATGATACAAAGGCTGACTCACTGGCGTCACCAGACAGGCTCAAGTCTCCCTCATTCTTTAGTGTAATCCATATTCTCCTTACAGTGTTCTCAACAACACTTTTCTGTTACAAACTCACACGATTTTTTAAAAAGCACTTCATTCATGCATACCATGAATTTGACATCTTATGTCAACAGCCATTGTCAGTTTGCATATCTGCTCATTCCACACCACTCAGCATCTTGTAGATTACAGAATGGGACGAGTATGCCAAATGGAATCGGTACAGTCAGTTGTCTGTAGATTAAAATCACGAGACACCATGCAAGTTTACCTGTAACATTCGTAATTGTCCTTAACATATTTGACTCTTTCTGATCATTTCCATAACGTCTCAGGAATGACTAGATAAATTTACACAATATGCAACAGTCGGTTAACTGTCAGGCTAACAATCCAAAAGTCATGGGTTCACAGCAACAGATTCTCACTCTCACAAAACTGGTTGCTTGTCTAAGTGACACATGATCAACAGCAGAGATTGTCCTCACGAAAAATTGTGGTGCTGTATTCTAAAGGTGCTCAGGTTTTTTCACAGAAGGTTGCATGTTATGCATGTTTTGTATGGGTAGATCGAGCTCTCATGCGGTTCCACATATCACATGGATGAAGGTGATGGAATCATTTAGCATACATGATGGTACTTTACACGTCTAAACAAACACAACATGTCCTATATTCATAAACATCGCAAATTCAGGAAGAGATATTTACCATTTGTATGTCATGTTTTGTGTGTTCATGATCAAGATGACAGATGCAGTATAGATCGCAGACAATCAGATTTGGTATAACAGCATCACCAGAAGTACTTGTGATAATTACCTTCCTGTAGTATACTCTCTGCTGACTCCCTGGATATTTTCTTGTGGTACCAGACATTGTTTTCATCGGCTTTGGCAACTTCCTTTTGATCCTCTGAAAGAAGTTGCTCCAAGGATTTGGACAATAATAACTTGCTAACGTTTGCAGTCCTCAAAATATCACTGTTAGCATAAAGGGTGCCATCATGAATCGCATCTCTTTCGTTCATATTGAATACCTAGTTTGCATATGTAGAACAAAATGTTTTCACATCCTAAACGACAAAACAAAATTACACTTCCTGGTTTATGTACACTCTAATGCAGCGCGTGCCACCTCCTACTGCTCTTCCGGTTAGACTCGTGAAGTTGGAATGGGTGATCGCTGTTTGGAGTTGGGTCATGTGACCAAGTAGGCTCTATCGCAGCGCCCAACACTTCTTTTCCCCAATACAAGTGTAGCGCGTTAGTGGTTGTACTGAGAGTACGGGAACTCCGTATCGCTGTAAGGAGTGAAGTTCATCACGTCAAGACCTAACATGGCTGACGAGATGGAAGTCGACAGAGACGCGGTAGAATCGGGACAAAAGCCAGAGAAAATGTTTACCCTAAAGAAGTGGAATTTGGTAGCGATGTGGAGCTGGGATGTTGAGTGTGATACGTGTGCCATCTGTAGAGTTCAGGTTATGGGTAAGGATGAAGGAGGATGCGATGTTCTATTTCTTTATCCAAAGTCATCCATCTCACTTAGCAGTTTACGCTGACAACCATATTTGTTCGAGACGTCGTATTGCACAACACAGAAATAGAAGCATCACGTATGTTTGGGACATTATGTGTACACGGCAGTAACATCGACACACTTTCGAAACCAATATCATGTTTATCGCTTTCGTATATTAGTGTTATCAAAGGGTAGTGTGTTCAGTCTGTCTTGGTCAATTGCTACGTTCTTCTTGAGAGAAAAAGTTCTTCAGTCAGTAATGGGCATTAAAAATTGTTGTTTTCTTTTGCCTTCGAATTGATTTTGTTTGTAAAAGTCTTAATTCTTTTCAAAGATCTTAAGCTAGACTGTTAATTCGAAACATGCTACAACTCAAATAAAAATTCTTTTTTTTTGCCTTTGTTCTTTAGAAATGAGAGTACATATTTTGCCAATCCCTCAAATTACAATGCAATTTTGTAACCCAAATTTCGGTCTAGAAATCAACACTATTATTTTAGCATGATTAAGCAAAGACATGCTATAGTGAAATTAACAGATTGTTGAGGGTGCCTGTCAAATTTCAATTTCACACGTACATCTCACACACCTGGTTGTTCTACTTGACTATTCTATATGAAGAATATAATATCGAAGTTGACAAAGCCTATGCATTTATGGCATATGTTTATTCATTTTAAATATACTGGGGCATTTTGACTACCTCCCTGGGGCAATTTGACCAAATTTGCTGGAGCATTTTGTAACTGGGGCAATTTCACTGGCAAGAGATTGTTGACACAACATTGAAATATGTGAATGAACATGATAAAGTGCCCATTCACGACACCTAAAACACATATGAATGTTGAGAAATCACTGTAGTAAATACATTGTATGTCTGTCATCTTTTTCTAGATGCTTGTCTGCGGTGTCAATCAGAAAACAAACAAGATGACTGTGTTGGTGAGTTTCATTAAATATAGCCAGAGTTACATTCCTTAGGCTTGCCAGGATCTGCTTATCATGGGCTCCAATCTTAGTTAAGTCCTTATGATGATCTTAATTTGTCAGCACCATACACCCCATGAGGACAGAATTGTTCCCTAGCTACCTATGCTAGTTGGTGGAGGCACCTTAATGGATCGGTTGGTTAGGTTAAACCACTTGGTTAATTATGTGTCACAGGATTGTTTGGTCCAGACAGGATTGTTTACAAGCTGTTATCATATAAATGAAATGTTGCTTAGTGCAGCATTAAACAGTGAATACAGGACATACTGTGTTTTTGTGTTTTTTTCCAAATGCTGTTTTGTAGCAAAAGTGGAGCACTCAAGAAATGGTTCAGAATTACAGCTATATGCCACTTGTCTATGAGGACAATCATCATCGTATACATTTGCTGTAAAAAATCATCCAAAGTTGCTGAGATTTTTTTGTCCAAAATTTGACAATTTTCAATTCACTTTTTCACTCATGTCTGTTAGTTGTGTACAACTGTCAATGAGAGTAAGTAATTTTCTTTCTCATGAATGACACATGTAGACATATTTTTGTGTGACCAGCAGAATTCTGAATATACCATGCCATTTAGAAAGTGGTCAAATGTAACACATGTTATATTGGGATTACACTCTAGCAGTAAGGTACAGGTGAGGTGAAATTGGGTTTTACGTCGTGCTTGAGAATATTTCGCTCATATGACGACGTGCATGCGTGTGTATGTGTATGTGCGGCTGGTTTTATAGTGCTAGCCCACTGAGATACCATGCCGCAGTGAAGCAGGAATACCCCACTCAGACACATTATACTGACTCCGAACCGACCAGTCCTTGTTGTACCCATTAATGCCGAGTGCCAGGCAGGGACCAACAAGTACCCTATTTTAACGTCTTTTGGTATGACGCGGTCGGGGATCGAACCCGCGACCTTCCGCTCTCCGGGCGGACGCTCTAACCACTACACCACGGAGGCGGTCAGTAAGGTACAGATTCTAGTGTCAGACTCTGAGGGTGTGGGTTTGAATCTCAGATGTGACTCAACCCAAAAAAGTACTAGAATCTGTACTTTACTGATTGGTGAGTGTCATCCCAAATGTAACGTGTTATAGCAGAATTCTGTCGTCTGTGGTCAAGCAGTCATGCATACAAGATAATGGGGGACTCATCTTGCATTTCACGTTCCATCCTCTACTGATGTGTTCTTGTTTCAGTGGTATGGGGAGAGTGCAACCATTCCTTCCACAACTGCTGCATGTCCCTGTGGGTGAAGCAGAACAACAGGTGCCCCTTGTGTCAGCAGGAGTGGGTAGTGCAACGCATTGGGAAGTAGTCCTCACCCACCCACAGTATATCCCAGCAGTACACGCAGATCACTCAACTTTCACCTTGTCACATAGCCTTCACAGACATGTCAACACAAGGCCACATTTTGTGTTGGGCTGTCGTGGCATTAGTGTGAACCTCTGTGTTGGTTGCCTACCATGATATAAAACATTTACATTCGGAAATTGATGGAAAAATGGACATCAGTTTCGTCTGTTTTATATTATTGGAGTTACCTGTCACCACCTCTTGAACAGATGCTTCACAAAGTTTTCCCCTTGTGATTTGAATAATAAGACTGTTTAAAATTAGTGTTTGTCCATAACCAGTCTAAATTCAAGAAGGATGAACACTGTTTCTTTGTGGAGTACCACGTTTACCAACACATGAAGCGAATCAGTTTTGTAGATTCTTGGATATCTTAATTTCTAACCATGTCAGCCGGTGGAAGTCAAGACAGAAACTGATTCTGTGAGATTTCATGTATTGAATATGTGCTAGGTGGTCATCAACAGGGCTGGTTAAAATGATCGATAGTCGGAAATATCGTTGTTAGGAAAAATGATGAATGATTATCGATATGAAAATTGTGTTACCGGTAATATCGTACTGTAACTTTTGTGATAGAAAAAGGTTTCAATTTTCTCACTCAGTATGCAATTTTAGGACTTTATTCATGGTTGCTTCTAAATTTTGTTCAGAACGCCTTTTTGTTAATATTCCAAGCAAAAGCATGTCCCCACTCACAGGTGATGGGAAATATGTTTATTTCTTTCAGACATTTCAGATTTCGATTGATATTGAGTTAACGTTTATTGATTTCTATGGTCTACATCGATAGCCAGCCCTCGTCATCAAAGAATGATTTAATAATCCATCAATTTGTTTGGGGTATTCCTGTACGATGTAACAATGTGTGTGAAGTGTGTCAACCAGTGATGTCTAGTATGTTACACAAATATCCTGTCATTGCCATATGTAGGTATTATTACAAAAAGATGCTTATACAGGGCCTTGATGAGATATACAAAAATGTTTTGATTTAATGATGTGTTTTATTTATTGTGGGGTCTCAAGTCAGTTTATGTACATGTACATCTGAGTTTGTCTGCTTGATATCCTGTATGAAGAAATCTGCTAAAAGACCAAAATTTGTGTGTGTGTGAATTTATCTTTTTGTTAAGGCCAGACCAATGTTATTTCTTGTGTCACGGATCCGCTGGTCGTATTTTTTCAAGAATAAGAACAAAAATAAAACTTAATTTTCCCCGCTCAAAAAATAAAATCCTAATGTTTTTATTGGCCAAATATGTAAACTTACAGAAAGAGGTTTCTTTAGATTGTTTTTTGCCCCATATACACTTCATAAATTGCTGAAAGTAAAATACTTGAGTTTTTGGAACGAACATTACTTTGACTGGTGATTTTATTTATTTATTTGTTCCCTCCTGCCTTTAGGTTTTCCGAGGACAAAAATCCGTAAAACAAGAAATAAAATTGGTCTGGCCTAATTAGTCATGCAAGAAAAATGTGTCTAAGGATTTATCTTTGTTTACAATGTTGAGTTGCATCCCCTTGTTTCAGTAGTAATAACAATGATACGGTCACGTGTGTAGAGTCAAACTCCATGCTGCATGGGTATGCTGTAAGTGCAGCAACTAAAAAGTTAAACTGTTGTCAGTAATTAAGGAACAGATGGATCTTTTGGCCATGTTTTAATCCAGTCAAGGAAGGAGCACATCAGAGGTGAAGCTGAGAAAGTTCCATAGCACAGCATCAGAGTGTTGGAAGAATGATCTGTCTTCAACTTGTTCTTTCATTGATCATCAAAGTTTGTAGATGTTCTGATGTGACATGTCATGGGATGTCCTAAGAAATGTGTAAAGTGGTATCAGGCAGGTCAGATTTTAATGGGAAATTTACCAGAGTTACAGAAAACTGACTCCAAGCTCTATCCACAAGTGCTACTGACTCACAAAACAAACAGAATTAAATGACATGTCATATTGATAGGCCACAGTTTACTTGTGTTTGGATTGCTTAGTACTAAAATCACTTGGTCCCGGTACAAGTCAGAAATAGAGTATAGCTACTTACAATCCTGTGTCCGCTCATTGCTACTGGATACATTCAGTTCAGTCAAGAAAACAGTAATGCTTTTCATTAGTTTTATTGATCCCAAATCGTCAAAAGTGACCACTATGACACTAGACTTGTCAAGTAAGTTTCATTCAGATATAGGGTTGGTGGGATAGCCCAGTGGTTAAAGCGTTTTCTCATCCTGGGTTCAATTCCCCACATTGGTACAATGTGTGAAGCCCATTTCTGGTGCCCCCCTGCCATGATATTGCTGGAATATTGCTAATAATGGCATAAAACCCAACTCACTCATCCAGAAGTGAATGGTTTGGACGTTTTGCTTTGGAAACAGAAAACAGATGGGGATGGCATTACTTGTCCATGTGGTATATGAATTTAATGGTGGACATGAGTCAGGCATGTTTTGTTCACCAGAACTTCAGTCCAATCATCTATCTTTTTCAATGTGTTAATGCTGTAATAACATGGACATTTATATTGTGTATATTCTGTGATGTGAATAAACTACTGGTTTGATTTTGAAACCAGATATCATTACGTTCTGTTGTGACATTTCACACCCCCTCATGGCTTTCGGGCGGTGGGGTAGCCTAGTGGTTAAAGCGTTGGCTCGTCACGCCGAAGACCCGGGTTCGATTCCCCACATGGGCACAATGTGTTAAGCCCATTTCTGGTGTCCCCCGCCATGATATTGCTGGAATATTGCTAAAAGCGGCGTAAAACTAAACTCAGTCAGTCAGTCAGTCAGTCTTATGGCTTTCATATCTCTCCCATGGCTTTCATACCCATCTCATGGCTTTCATATCCCTCTCATGGCTTTCCTACACATCTCATGGCTTTCCTACCCTCTCATGGCTTTCCTATCCCTCTCATGGCTATCATACCCCTCTCATTGCTTTCATATCCCTATCAAGGCCTTCATATCCCTCTCAATGCTTTCATATTTCTCTCAACTTTCATAGTTCTCTTGGCTTTCATATCCCTCTCTTGGTTTCCATGTCCCCCTCTTGACTTCAGTCCATCCATCCATCCAAATTAGTGAACGGTCCTTCAAGATGGAGGCCAGGATCACCCTCAGACTCTACTATCTGCAATACTACCTCCATAGCCAAATGGACAGAGTGTCTGCTCTTGAGTAAAAGGTTACATCAACATCATACCTGAAGCCAGAACCTTATATCTCCTGGATTTGCATTTTGGTAAACCTTGAAGATACTCCTGCCCAGACAGACACAATCGACTTGATCAGAGATAAGACTTGCTCTCAGAAGAACAATGATAACCAAAACACATTTTTAAACCATAAAACAGTTTATTCCAGATGGGTATACATTTGAAGCAGATACATACACATGGTCACTGTGTAGAAACACCAGATCCTTCTCTCAGCGAGCAATACGTCAGAAATAGTTGAATAGAAAAAATTGAGCCAATGAAAATAGATCTGACTGCAATATAACATGGCTACCATTTAACCTATTTACAAGATTTGAATAGAATTATTGCACATTATGTGAAACATGACTACAACTCCACTTGTAAAATCTTTGGGTGTAACGATCACTTTAGCCAAGACACATTTCACTTCTGGCCTCACATCAACCTTAACAAAATTCAAATCTCATGTAAATTACATATTCCGTATTGTTCAGTTTATATTTATATTTTTTAATTAAATATAGACTGAAAAGCAAAAGAAACATGATCAACAAAAACATGATGTTATGTAATTAACACGCTTACAAAAGAGGACTTTTTCTAGTGTTTTCTGATGAATTAGATTTACTATAGTACCGAGTACAGTGCTATAGATTTATATGTGATCGCTGCACCCTAAAATCACAACACTTACAGCAGATTATGAGTTATTGTTAGTGTAAAGAAATACCGGGGATTCTTCACTCAAAACGTAGCGTAACTTTTAGTGTTACTTCAGGCACGAACATTTCACATATAACTGTCTTACAGACGAATCAACATATAAAAAATCACATTTATTTTCACTGATGTTATGCACCTCTCAAATCTTTGAAGCATATTTTTCAATTCTTTAGTTATGGTTTTTTTATAAAACTGATATTTCATTACTATCAACTCACCTCCAGTTATCATGTTCTACACCCCCCGATACAAACATCAAAATGTAATTGTATTGAGGTACATGATGTAATGTACAGCAATTGTCAGTAGTTCATAAGTTTGTACACTGTTCTTCCATCCGAACTGACATCAGTTTGTTTACTACTCTTGGACATCGAGATCCTATCATTGCCAGACACTATACCAATGCTCGTTTGATACTCAGCACTTAGCAATAATCCCGCAACATAACATGTTAACAGAGTCTTAGTGGGTGAGTATGGTTTTACGCCGCTTTTAGCAATATTCCAGCAATATCATGGCGGGGGACACCAGAAATGGGTTTCACATATTGTACCCATGTTGGGATTCGAACCCAGGTCTTCGGCGTGACGAGCAAACACTTTAACCATTAGGCTACCCCACCACCTGTAATAGAGTCTGAACCAGTTAATCCAGTGATTGACATCATGAGCATCAGTCAACACAACTGGAATATGATGACATGTATCAACTACATCCGTGTGACTGCATCATCTCAACAGTCGCTACTATCGGTGAGTGCGCGAAGCCTCAGGTTAATTATGCATATGGTGCATATGTTCAGCAAGAAATAATATTTCTTGAACGTTGCCATCTTTTGTCTCAGCATTCACTGCCTTCCTTCACCTAAATAAGCAGGTGTTCACAGGTGACAGTGTATAAAGTCTTTGAAGTACTGACGGTCTCTGTCTAATCATGCTAATTACATAATGGTACAGGTAATACGAAGTAGTGAATTAATTGAAAGAATTATACACAGCAGGAATCTAACAGAGATAAAGTGATAAACACCGCCCACTTCATGGCACGACAAACAGCACCTCCATGCATGTAATACTAACACAAGCTGTTGTATCAGCAGCAAGTTGCAACTGAATACACATTGTGACTCTGAATCATACTTCCAAATACTTCCTTAATTCATGTTAATCCTGAGTGTTTCAACATTTAAGGCACAAGCTTTTCAAACAACATTAAATTTAATACCACGCCAAATTAAGAGTGTCATACAAACAGACAAAATAACAGTTTGTATCAGAGAACAAATACAAAGCTACAGTTTTGCAATAATAATAATAAATACAAATAATTCTAACTAGGAAATATCTTCAAACCTTGATAGAAGGGCAAAGGTTGTGTGAATGTAGCAAAAAAAAAATATAACCCTTGAACAATTAAATAAAAATAGTTTTTTGCTTAATTCAATACTCAGGAAAAGACTAATAACCCATGGTGCAATAACCCTGTGTGTAAACCTTCAAACAACATTAAGACACTCTTCTGGAGGCCACTTACAGAAGCAAGCAGCAACATGTACACGGAGACAAAGAATCTCTGTTGCTAGGAAACCTATGAAAATAGATGTCTATTAAGTACAGCAGTTGTACTCAAATCAAGCAGTTTGTCACAAATTGAACACAACATTCTATGTTAATAAATCCAGCATGACATTCTCCTTACATTATTTATTTGGAACCATTAAAAAAATTGCTGTAAATGAATATTAAAAAATTTATTGGTAACTTAACTGAGTTTTAAAAAGCTGAAAACATAACCAGTATATAAACCCCAGAGAAACACTATCCAAAGACAGATACATTTTAGAAACCAGAAAAAAATTCAAAAGCTGTGCATGCCACTCAGAATAACAAGTTCAAACTGTCAATTCTACAGAGAGACAAAACAAATAATGCATGTATACATGCCAACTACAAACATGAACACAGGTTTTGTAGAAAAGTTGGATGTATTTTGAGATCACAAGTCAACATTGTTTAATGAATTCTAATAATTGTGAACAATATCTATTTGGTTGTTGTGTTATTGTTGGAGACGTATCACAAAATGGTTTAGTTGCAGTGTTGTTACATTTAACGAGATCAGCTATGAAACTCATGTTAGCGTCGGCATGTAAATGTGTTTATAAAACAAGGATGCTACTCCCTGTATCTGTGCATGATGTACATATAACAATCAGCACTCAACAATGTGATCTTATAAAGTGATTGTGCTTATTATGCATTATTGAAGTTGAACAATATTTCAATACTGAAATAACAGTCACCTGTTTTACCCTTGACACCGATAATGTGACCGAAGTCAATAAGACCTGTCTCAAGACACAGACACTAATGACACCTGTCTCAAGACACAGATACTAATAACACCTGTCTCAAGACACAGATACTAATAACACCTGTCTCAAGACACAGACACTAATGGCACCTGTCTCAAGACACAGACACTAATGACACCTGTCTCATGACACAGACACTAATGACACCTGTCTCATGACATACTAATGATACCTGTCTCATGACAGACACTAATGACACCTGTCTCAAGACACAGACACTAATGACACCTGTTTCAAGACAGACACTGTCTAATGACATGACACATGACACCTGTCTCAAGACACTAATGACACCTGTCTCAAGACACAGACACACTGACAATGACACCTGTCTCATGACACAGACACTAATGACACCTGTCTCATGACACAGACACTAATGGCACTAATGACACCTGTTTCAAGACAGACACTAATGATACCTGTCTCATGACAGACACTAATGACACCTGTCTCAAGACACAGACACTAATGACACCTGTTTCAAGACAGACACTAATGACACCTGTCTCAAGACACAGACACTAATGACACCTGTTTCAAGACAGACACTAATGACACCTGTCTCAAGACACAGACACTAATGACACCTGTCTCGTGACACATGCACTAATGACACCTGTCTCAAGACACAGACACTAATGACACCTGTCTCATGACAGATACTGACACCTGTCTCAAGACACAGACACTAATGACACCTGTCTCAAGACACAGATACTAATAACACCTGTCTCAAGACAAAGACACTAATAACACCTGTCTCAAGACACAGACACTAATGACACCTGTCTCATGACACAAACACTAATGACACCTGTATCATGACACAGGCACTAATGACACCTGTCTCATGACACAGACACTAATGGCACCTGTCTCAAAACAAAGAAATTGATAACACCTGTCTCACAACACAGACATTTATAACACCTGTTTCAAGACACATATGACAATAAGAAAACTATTTACCCATGCTGAAAATGTGTATCACTTCATTAATTAAAAAACGTGAAAAAATGTTTTGAGCCTTAGAAAATAACACGCTTAAAAAACATGCAACAATATAATAGAATTTGTTTCTTTTAAATGAGAATATACAAGAGTTCATCCTGCTGTTTAAACTCCAAACATGATAAAATGATGCTACTTGGTCGTCCTGATGTGTACTATAGAAACATAGTGGGATAATAACATAAATAACGGGTATACTTAGATCTTTGCTTACCTTTCCAAATACATATAATGCATAACATTTACAGAGTGTGACACTGACCAAAATGTGTTGGAGGTCCAAACGACCGGGACATAGAAAATTCTACTTCTTGTTGGATCTTGGTAAGACACAATGGTGCTGACCAAAAAAAGGTTATAGAGAGTAGATGAATTATCAAGTATATCTGACAAGAGAGCATGCATAATTGGAGTGTGAAACCAGTCAAGTAGGTAACCATTGTTCAATGCACGTTTGTTCAGATTGGTGGCGTTACTTAGACTCTGGAGATCATCTATCACTGATTCTAAAAGTTGCCCAAACATGGATGAATTGTTCACCATAAAAATGACCCATGACACTGGTCCAATGTTTATTTTAGTTTACTGTCCCTACGGGAAACATACTAGATGATGACGCCAATGTAAGGACCAAACACTGACTTTGTAACTTTTGAAAAGTTTAGTCTAAGATATGTTCAGCAAAATTCCACCAAGTATCAATGAAATAATTCAAGTATATCACATTATATCTTGTGAAAAACATCAATCTACATGACATAAATGACCTGTCATTAGGATGTCCTTGTACTTGTCATTGTTTGACCTTGCAATTGTACGCCTTTATGCATCAGAGAAGTGAAACAGTTGCAGGTACAAACACACAAAAAAAGAATTTTGTAACCCAAATCATATCATCACAGAGAAATTTCTATGATGTTTCTTCAAAGACAAATTAAACTTGACACTGACGCTTAAATGAATGTATACTCAAACATATACTGTATATTAACACTTTCTGACTATCTGGTTCGGCTTAAGAAAGTCCACTGTTGTAGGGATAGTCAAATGCAGCGACCATCCATGGTGATGGTTTACAGCTCTACCACCCCCGATCTATGTTTAGAACAATTCCTGACTTAATGTTTGTCTTTTTGTAACCTTAAACACACACAAAGTCTGGCTTACATGGGCATTACATAAACCTACTTCCTGCCTGTCCATATCATACAACAAAATAGACTGATCTTATGCATATTCAGTAGGGTCAGTGGGTCACGGTTTATATGACTAAATATGGTAATTTAGTTATACACCAAGAGGAAGATACATTTAGGCCAAACTGTACACAATGCACGTTTGTATATCCATATATGAATACATTTAGGCCAAACTGTACACAATGCACGTTTGTATATCCATATATGAATATTCATAAACATATTCTTTGGTTTGTCCTACTTTCATGTATCAAATAGACTTGATAATTGTAACACTTTCACATCAACAGGAAGTGGTCTAAATACCTACAACCAGGGTTAAAAATAGAAATGATTAATCACTCTGGAACTTTAATCATTTAAAAAGGGAAATCATTTGAGTTGTTGTGCAAAGGAAATTATTTCGTTTACAGGAAGTTATGCAATTTGAATGAATGAGTGAGCGAGTTCAGTTTTGCGCTGCATTTAGCATTATTCCAGTAAGATCACATCAGGGGACACCAGAAAAAGGCTTCACACATTACACATGTAATGAATCGAACTCGGGTCATCGATGTGATGAGCAAACCCTGTAACCACTGGGCAACCACTTGTATGAAAGTTTAACAGAGCGATTTTACTGGCCATGTTTTTGAAACACTACAACAGATCTCAAACAAAACTGTATTAGAAACATCAATGTTACTGATAACTCTTTGTACAGTTTGCTGTTATAATGATACACTTTGGTACTGTACAGTTTTACCCAGATAGATTGTCTCCTCTCATATCAATATCTTCATGATGGCAGCCTGTAAGTGATCCAATCAGGACCACATAATCCAGTGACTGATACAGCAAGGATGACATACAATAACCAAGTAACCCAGTATGACCACTCAATCCATTAAGTCAGGGATTTTCTAACCGAGAATATCCACTGGGAGAGATAGGTGGAGTCCAGTCTTACATCAACAACTCAAAGACATGATAATGGGAGATAACTCTCATCTTTACTTCTCTAACATAATCTGCAGGCATAGAAGATAAATGGAAGCTTAGCTGGACCCATTTTACTTGGATCATGTTCAGATAAAAGGCTGTGTGGAGATTTCATCAGTCATTTGTTACTGTTAATATCGAGCACTTGCATTTAGATGGGAGTTTGAGACACAGGTACTTGAGTACGATTTTGTGTTAGAGATCTAATTCACAATATAATACAAGTAAACTGAAGCCATGTCATGTAAAGAAGCAAAAGTCTATCAAAGAAAGGGAATTACAAAAATCCATGAAACATTATCAAAGAATGAAGAATTTTACAAACAGTGCCTTTAAACTTCTTGTACACCAGGAAAAATATTTATGATACAACACATTCATCATGGTACGTATATTACCAGGATACAGAAATACTTCAGTGTATCATTGAAGTCTGAGTAGAAAAACGCAAAGCCTACAACAGTTACTGCCATTACAGAAATCGCTATCTACACTCAGATCTATGGTAGAAATATCTACTCTAAATATACAATAAATATATGTTTATGATAAAAATGAGAGGTGAATTATACAATGTATACTATAAAGTGGGTACATAAAAAATAAAGTAAAATAAAACAGATTTAATATTTTTATATTCTTACACACACTTTGATAATATCAAAGATTTAAAAGTTACATATTAACCTCGTCAATTTAAAAAGTGATTAATAAGGTATAGGTGCCAGTATATCACAGAAAACAGCATACACTGGTGGTGCCACACCAAGGAAAGAATTCTGTATGGACGACCAAGGTCATTAAGACTTGGAACAGTAGCTCACATAGTATGCTGATGAGCATTCCATCAAGGTCACAGGAGAACAGAGGGTTTGGTTGGTGTGTGGAGTCAACTGTGGTAACATGGAGCGGAGTGGAGTGGAGTGGTAGAGTGGACTGATTTAAAGCTGACTTAAACACTATTCCAGTTGCATCAGGACATGTCAGCTTTATTTTGGAGGAAAGTTCACTTTGGTGACATCCAAGGGCATGAGTATAGTGCCGACACACCTAGGGACCAATCATAATTTATGGCTAGGGGGATGATGATGATTTTAGGGGTGGGGGTGTGTGGGTATCACCATTTTATTCTGAGGATTTTGTACACATGTACAGGGGGAGGTGTGTGTGTGTGTCAGCAATTATGTAAATGAAATTATTTAAAAAATAAGTTTTAAAATTATGGGAAGGGGGGTCACTGATTTTGTACATGACATGACAAACCCACCATTAGTGCTTTCTCGGATTCCCAAGGGAAGCAACTCTACACAGCAAATGCCTGGATGACTCTGTTTTTTATATCAGCTCGTCAAATTTGAGTTTACACTGACAGAAAAACAAAACTAACATGCATGGCAATGGACTGTTATAATTGGTTTAACCTAATCCTTATCATAGGTTTCATGACAGAAAGACAATATCAATATTCTGTGTGAAAATAACTGTTACATGTTGTTTCAACTTATCCTTATAAAAGGTTCAAGTTTAATCAAGGAACACTAAACTTGTCTGCTTTATGAACAACTAGGGACATTGCAGACAGCATCTAAACTCTTTTGTTGTACAGCCTGAACATATATTCTAATGTAAGTGATCCATCTCCTTTTTGACATTCTTCTTGTCATTTTCAAAGTACATGAAATCCTGAAAGAAAATAAGGAGAGATGAAACAGTTACATTATGAGCAACTTTGTGAAGAACCATAAAATACTGCCCTCCTGAAAGATAATTTCAATATTCTTAAAAAAATAGGAAAAAATAACAAGCAAGGCAACAACAACTTAATTCTTGCTCGACATATAGAGAGAGGTTATTAGTCAAGGGTATCCACACTGTAAACACCAGTAGGAACAAATATTTTAGAAATATAAGCAGGATGCTTTTATGTTATTCTTAACATTTGACATTTGCAACACAGAAACAAATGTATGGTCTTTTGAAATGGTCTTTTCATCTTATCATGTCATTCTTAGAATAATCCATGGCAATACATAACCTTATCTAGGATGTAAATTTATAAACAAAGTATGAATACCAAGTTTGAGAGAATCGCACACTTTCATACAGTATCTTATGACCTGCATGCATGTTTTACATTGTTTGTTCTTCTGTCAACATCTTCACTGGAGGATGCTAAGATTTGTTTGTTTGTTTGTGGTTTAACGCTGACTCAGTAAAATTTCAGCATTATGGCGGCGGTCTAAAATAATCGAGTCTCGACCACACAGCCCAGTGATCAGCATCATGAGCATCGATCTATTCTGCTGGGATGCAGCGAGCCTGACCACCCGATCCCGTTAGTCGCCTCTTACGACAAGCATGGGTTGCTGAAGACCAATTCTAACCTGGATCTCCACAGGTATTTAAATTTCTGTATTGGTAGCACAACTTACATAACAAAATATCACGAGTGAGTGTGGACCAAACAATCCAGTCACTGATAATGACAGCAATGAACCATCAATGACATCAATGACACCATGATACATCGTCAACTAAGTCAGTGAGTTTGGCCACCCAGTGCCTGCAGTCTCCTTGTACAACCAGCATTTTATGCTGGAGACCTATTCTAACCCAGAAATCCCACCTGTCTGTAGTGAATGATTTGAGCTCTCAGACCATACTTACAATGAGGAAGATGGCTCCCAACATGACAGCCTTCATCTTGACGTCCAGATCCATGGGGAAGGAGATACCGAAGTTGTCAGCATCCGTGAAGACCTCCTTGGCCAGGCCGGACCACTGCTTGGAGATCCTCCCCACCTCCGTACTGTGGTCTGCAGAGGTGACCTGGAGAAGCCAAAGTATATACTCCATGTAAAGTAGGAGTGTGCAGAATGTGAGCGGTCGTAAGTCAGATGTCTCACGATAAGTATATGCACCATGTAAAGTAGGAGTGTGCAGAGTGCGAGCTGTCATAAGTCAGATGTTCCATGGTAAATATATGTTCCACGTAAACAAGGAATGTGCAGAGTCAGATCGGTCATAAGTCAAATGCCTTACAGTAAGTATATACTCTGTGTAAACCAGAATTGAGCAGAGTGAAAATTGTCTAAGTCAGGTGTCTTACGGTAAGCATACATTCTATGAAAATGAATTTTCAGAGTGACAGATCTTATAAGTCAACGGACCGCCTCCGTGGTGTAGTGGTTAGAGCGTCCGCCCGGAGAGCGGAAGGTCGCGGGTTCGATCCCCGACTGTGTCATACCAAAAGACATTAAAATATGGTACTTGTTGGTCCCTGCCTGGCGCTCGGCATTAATGGGTACAACAAGGACTGGTCGGCTCGGAGTCAGTATAATGTGTGTGAGTGGGGTATTCATGCTTCACTGCGGCCTGGTATCTCAGTGGGCTAGCACTATAAAACCAGCTTAAGTTTCTGCTAGTACAAGCAGCCGCACATACACCTACACACGCATGCACATCGTCATATGAGCGAAATATTCTCAAGCACGACGTTAAACCCAATTCCACCACAACCACCATAAGTCAGACGTCTCACAGTAAGTAGGTACTACAGCAAACAGATTGAGAGGTGTCTTAAGTCAGATGTCTCACAGTATATATATTCCACATACAGTGTGAGTGTTGAGGGAGACAGATTTCAAAAGTCAGATATGAACAATAATTATATGTATAATCCATGTAAACCAGGAATGTGTTGTCATAAGTGAGGCAGTACGTAGAAGTGTGTATCCTTGATGTTTAATGACACACTCACCAATATTCCAGCAATACGACAACATTTTGTAAATAATCAAGACTGGACAAGGAAATCCTACAATTTACAACAATCAGTTGATATCATAATTGCTGTAGTGGACATTGTGACCTTCCAATCCACATTTCAGACCCCTTTCATGAGTATTTTCGTAAACTAGTAGTTTTGACCATATATTCTACAAGTTATACTTTAGTGCACCAAAAGTAATATCTCATTCTTCTAACAATTTCTACCTTTGACTTCTTATAGTTCTACCTTTGACTTCTTACAGTTCTTCTTTAGACTCTCAAAGATTCCACTAATTCATTTATGTCTGACCAAGCAAGAAGTGTAATGCATTGCTCACATCAAACTCGACGTCTCCACAGATATTCCATTGGCAGCACGGCCCCTTGATCCCCAGGATGGTCTGTTCATCTGCGTTCTGGATGTAGAACTTGGGCTTACACAGATGCCAGCCCTGCTTCACGTAGCCAATCACCGTGCCGGGTGGCGACTGTACCTCGATGACCTGCACAGCAAAACACACACACACTTGTAATGCTGTTGTCGACATCGTCGTCCTTGCTTTTGTTGCCATCATCATCACTCATTGCCGTCATCATCAACATCAAATGCCACATTATCACTGTCATTGTGATCAGAGACTTTATCAATAATCAGCATCATCAAGGTCATCTTCAATCATCATCGTCATCAGCATCATCATTAATATCAAATGGCACCATTATCACTGGCATCGTCACCATCAAGCACTGACATCAGCAATCATCAATAATAACAATCTAACACTTTTTTTAACATCATCATCATAATCATTACTCACTGTCATCACATTCATTGCCTCACTATTTTTATCATCATCATCATCATCATCATCATCATCAATCACTGTCATCACATTCATTTCCTCACTATTTTTATCATCATCACCATCATCATCATCATCATCATCAATCACTGTCATCACATTCATTGCCTCACTTTACTTTATCATCATCATCATCATCATCATCAACCCCTTCAATCACTGTCATCACATTCATTGCCTCACTATTTTTATTATCATCATCATCATCATCAATCACTATCATCACATTCATTGCCTCACTATTTTTATTATCATCATCATCATCACATTCAATCACTGTCGTAACATTCATTGCCTCACTTTTTTATCATCATCATCATCAATCACTGTCATCACATTCATTGCCTCACTTTTTTTTATCATCATCATCATCATCATCATCATCATCATCAACCCCTTCAATCACTGTCATCACATTCATTGCCTCACTATTTTTATTATCATCATCATCATCAATCACTATCATCACATTCATTTCCTCACTATTTTTATCATCATCATCATCATCATCACATTCAATCACTGTCATCACATTCATTGCCGCACTATTTTTATCATCATCATCATCAATCACTGTCATCACATTCATTGCCGCACTATTTTTATCATCATCATCATCATCACATTCAATCACTGTCATCACATTCATTGCCTCACTATTTTTATCATCATCATCAATCACTGTCATCACATTCATTGCCTCACTTTTTTTTATTATCATCATCACATTCAATCACTGTCATCACATTCATTGCCCCTCTATTTTTATCATTTTGATCATCATCATCATCATCATCACAATATTCAATCACTGTCATCACATTCATTGCCTCACTATTTTTATCATCATCATCATCATCACAATATTCAATCACTGTCATCACATTCATTGCCTCACTATTTTTAACATCATCATCATAATCATCTTCATCATCACCATCACCAATCACTGTCATCACATTCATTGCCTCACTATTTTTATCATCATCATCATCATCATCATCATCATCACAATATTCAATCACTGTCATCACATTCATTGCCTCACTATTTTTAATATCATCATCATAATCATCTTCATCATCACCATCACCAATCACTGTCATCACTTATCTGCAACATGAACCATTAACATGGACTAACATTACCTATCATCTTTGCTATCATGTCACCAGTACAGTTTATCTCTTTTCTCATGTAATCAGTACTATAGTAATTGGCATTGGTAGAATCATCCTCATCATCGATTACTATTCACTGTCATTTTCAACATCACCAGAATCATATGCACACAGGAGATAAAACTGAAAATATACAAAGCCTCTTATGGTATAGAAGTCTGTATTGACCTTGTGAAAGTCCCGAGTACACACGAGTGTGTTGGAGGTGACAGTTACCTGTAGACAGCAAGGGCACCAGCAAGTGTTACAGCGTAGCGGTCGTGACAAGTGCATCACTTCACGGTTCTGACTGTCTTTGATTTTCATGTCAAAGGGTCTAACAGCTCCACAGCAGCACAGCACACAGCAGCAGTTGTCTGTAACACAACGCAGGTGTCTGAACACTAGGGCTGTAACGATGCATCCAACTATCGATGTATCGCAATTGTTGAGTCTCCGATAGCAATTAATCGATAGAAGAAACGAAAAACTATTGATGCATCGATAGTATGTGTGACTATCGATAGTTTAGTAATTGACTTCCGTTGATAAATGCGCAGAACAAAATATAGGAAATACCAGATTTGTTCACTTTGATTTAGAGGTATCTGCTCCTGTTACCTCTTAAACAAACTTGAACTGGGTTTCAAGTTTGTCAGTTATTAAAAGAGATTGAAACCACTTCGGCTTGTTTTTATTTCATATAAACTATACATTCATTTGAGAGAAAAAAAACATGGCAATAGTATGTTGCAATAGACTATCGCTATCGCAATAGTTGTTTCCCCCTCGATAGTCACCCTTACTGAACACTAGCTCCAGAGCTACAGATAACTTTTTGGGTGCTTGAGTTATGTACTCGCTTGTGTTCATCTCAACTGGGTATCCTAATTTTCCTTTAAGTAACTAAATAAATTGTACCCACCTCACTCAAACTCAATTGGGTATTATGCCTTTTTCCATTAATTGCAAAAATATAATAAAGTTTAAATGTTGGTTTACATGTTTGTTATTTATATTTGATCTGTTATATGAGAAACGACTTAAGAAAGACTGCACGTTGCCAAGTTCAGGTGCTGAAATAGAACCTCTCAATACACATGTACCTCAATGTATATGTCAAATTTATTGAGTATTTACAAAACTTCAACACGTACGCAACAGACTTGATAGGAATTGAGTTTCACATACATATTTGTGTGATTTACGAAGATACGCAGCTTATCTGTACCTACCATCTCCAATACCATCCTCTTACTTCCAGGGCGGTTGGGTGGCCTAGTGGTTAAAGCATCCGCTCGTCACACTGAAGACCCAGGTTTGATTCCCCATATGGGTACAATGTGTGAAGCCCATTTCTGGTGTCCCCCCACTCCAATATTGCTGGAATATTGCTAAAATCGACATAAAACTAAAGTCACTAAAGTCACTCTCTTACTTCCAAACTCAATTCCAGGTGATGACATTGTTAGGCCATAAAAACTCAGTAATTACCTAATTTGTATTCAATGTGTCAGTCATATTTTGTTTAGAATTTGAACTTTTTTTTTACATAAACTGTCAGTGGCTTTACTCCCTTTTTAGCAATATTCCAGCAACATGACAGCAACACATACCAGAAATTTGCTTCACACACTGTACCCATGTGGGGAATCGAACACAGATCTTAGTTTGATGTGGAAATGCTTCAACTACTCGGCCACCTCTTGGCCCCCCAAGATATCTGTACCTTGACTGTTGCAAACCTGACTTACATGAAGATTAATGTTATTAGAAAAGTGTTAATAGTGTATTTAATCCAGTAAATATGGAGTCCAATAGTAATTTTTTATCATCTGTGGGGATATAAGAGTGATGAGAGGTATGAGGTTTGGTAGAGAGGCTGGTGGATATGAAAATGTAATAATTAATGTGATAGGGGATTAGTCAAATATATTTTAATGAACTCATCATCTTCCTTTGATTCAAATATTTTATTACTATTCTTTATATATTTGTTGTTTCATGCAGCATTCAACTATATCCCAGCTTTATATACTACCCATCAAAAAGTTTAGACTCACTAGTGTAAATGTAACCACTTACTTCAGTCAAATGTTCTAAACTAGATTTGGCAATATATTCCATACTGTTTAAAGGTGCTGTTTACACATGAACCGATGTATTGTAAAACAAATTCGTAAGATTATTGTCATGAGTTCAATAAATGATGAAATTCATTGAAAATTGGTGAATTCTTTACAAAATGTTACACCAAAACGCAGCTGTTCACATGCACGATATTTGCACATGCTTTTCAGCAATTTTATGCATGATCCTCGAGCAATTCATCTGCATAAGGTTTGCAGTTGGTTCCCCTAAGTTAGTGGAGAAATTCATCCTCGATGTAACCATATAGATATCCAAAACATATAGCAAGTGCTTTAAGTGAGTTTAACTTTGGATGAGTAGTATATGATGGTGTCTGTAAATAACCGATTCTGGATCAGAAAAACCAGTGACATCACAAGCATCAATCTACGCAGTTGGGATCAATTACATGAATCAACCAAGTCAAGGAGCCTGACCACCCGATCCATTAATCACCCCTTGTGAGTGAGTGAGAGAGTTTAGTTTTACGCCGCACTCAGCAATATTCTAGCTATATGGCTGCAGTCTGTAAATAATTGAGTCTGGACCAGACAATCCAGTGATCAACAGCACGAGCATTGATCTGCGCAATTGGGAACCGATGACATGTGTCAACCAAGTGAGCGAGCCTGACCACCCGATACCCACCCCTTATGACTAGCATGGGTTTCTGAGACAAATTATAACTGCATCTTCTCAGGTTTTTTGTCAGCTATTGATTGATGCTGCATTTTGACAAAACATCTCCTGCAATTCCTGTACATACCTTCCTTGGCACGGTACACCACCTGGCCTAGTGTGTTGCACACCTCATACTTGTTGTTTCTCTCACACCCAGTCACAGCTGAAACACAGTCACTTTACTACAGACTAATGGCAGTTATTTCACAATTATGGAATAAATAACAAGTTGGAGAACACTTTTGTTTCCTTCCAAAAATGAGTCTGTGTAATAATTTCAGTACCGATAAACCCTTCCAGCCTGATTGAGGACGAAGTCAGGGGCGGATACAGCTTTTTGAGAAAGGTGGATTGCACACTATTGAGAAAAGGGAGGGTGCACACTTCATTTTCACCAGAGTTTCAATGGTCATTTAATAAACTTTCAGGACAAAAGGGGGGTGCGCACCCCTGCACCCCCCCTCTGGATCCGCCTATGTGAAGTGATATTATTTTCATTAGCCATTATAAAACAAGTTTCTTATTTAATTTGACATTGCAAAAGCAATTTTTTTTTCTTTCTCTCACCATTGCAAAAGCAAGTTTCGAATTTTCATTATCTATTTCACCTTACCACCAGTTCTTCCAAGAAGTCATATCTTAGTCTTCTAAGAAGAAATATATTTATAATAATTGCATTTTGGTTTCCACTGACATTTCATTTAAAGTAACACTAAAAGATAACGAGACTTTATGACATTATGCACTACCATGTAATCACTGGGAGGTATGATAACAATCTGTCAATCTTCACAGAGACAACCCATATTACACATGAAACACATGAAAATGTGGCAGAAGTTACAAGTGTAAGGGCTTCGTACACTATTCGTTACAAATCATTACAAATTCAAACTACAACAAAACCAACAACCATGAAAAAACACTGAGAGACTTGTGAATTGTCTATATTTTAAAGTCTTCCAGATTTATTCACCACAATTCATATATTATTCCTGCTGATTGACGTGTAAATAGAATAAAACTGTAACTGCAGCTGTATGAATCAACGTACCGTACAATATCCCCACTACAGGAATGACACAATGTGTCCTGCGTCACCTACCTTCAAATACTTCTTTCTTCTGTTTGACGAGCAGCTGGTCTATGCTAGCCAGGTACTCCAGCCCTGGGGGGCAGCCAACAGGTGCCTGTCCTGGCTGAGCCCAACCCCCGGGCCCTCCCACTGGGGGTGCTGTAACATTCACAGACACTCATACAGGGCGAGGTCAGGTGACATCAACACACTTACGTTGTAATATACAGACAGACACGTACAGGGCGAGGTCAGGTGAAACTGGGTCTCACTTACACTGTAGACTTGCTGTAGACCAATTCTAACCCATTCTACTGATAGCCCACCAATATACACTGCCATAGTTTAACACAAATACCCCACCCAGATAAAAATATACTGACTTTGAGTAGAGCAGTTCTGTATTTTTTCTGCTTAATGTCAACCTCTAACTGTCCTTCCGTATGCCATGTCCGGGAAATTGAACTTCTAATTAATTGACACATAAGTGTATCTTATCAACAGGTGCAAATTCTAGTACAAATATAACATTGGCTCAAACAGATAAAGTACAGGGTGCCGTTGTACAAAGCAACTTTAGCTCTAAGACTACCTTAAGTCTATGTTAAGGCATGGGAGTTACGGTCACCTTAGAGCTAAGATCACTTTGTACAACGGCACCCAGGTAGTACTCACATTAGTCAATGGTAACCTCTTGACAACAAACACAGCATCCCTTACCTCCAGGAATAGGCTGCATCCCGATCGCCTGGCCACCCGGCTGGGTTGGGTACCCTGGCTGTTGCTGGCCAGGCTGTTGAGCGGGGTAGCCAGGCTGTTGTTGGGGATAACCAGGCTGCTGAGGGGGGTAGCCAGGCTGCTGTTGAGGGTAGCCTGGCTGTTGAGGGGGGTATCCAGGCTGAGGCTGTGGTTGAGGCATTGGTTCACCTGGTTTGCCTTCTGGAACAATGATATCGACCTGATGTGGGCCTGCGTTAGGATAGGGGGCAGACATCTTGAATCTTGGTACTGATGACTAGCTCCTGAAAAAAAACCATAAATGAATTATAGGTTTACCATAATAACAGTGGGTTTATCAGAAGCAAAGTGTTTAGTATGCATACAAATTGATAATGGACGCAAATACTTTACATTGCTAGTAATGCAAAACATACAGCTGCTCGAATACAAATACTGATCATAATTCCATAATGCATGACCTCTATTTTTCTATTCTGGTAAGAAATAAATACAGTGTCATTGGTTGTCATGAACACTGAGTGAGTGAGCGAGTGAGTTTTGTTTTACGCCGCACTCAGCAATATTCCAGCTATATGGCGGCGGTCTGTAAATAATCGAGTCTGGACCAGACAATCCAGTGATCAACAGCATGATCATCGATCTGCGCAATTGGGAACCGATGACATGTGTCAACCAAGTCAGCGAAACTGACCACCCGATCCCGTTAGTCGCCTCTTACAACAAGATAGTCGCCTTTTTATGGCAAGCACATGGGTTGCTGAAGACCTATTCTACCCCGGATCTTCACGGGTAGTCATGAACACTGAAATCCCCATCCACACAACAGGAGTAAACCATCAGGAGTTTGTAGGGTGATTCATCAAACTCATATAGCTAATCACATGTATTCACACTTGTGTCGACCCGTGAAGATCCGGGTTAGAATTGGTCTTCACTGCCTCATGCTTGTCATAAGAGGTGACTAACAGGATCATCGGGTTGTCATACTTGCTGACTTGGTTGACACGTGTCATCGTATCCAGTGTCTCCGTTATCTGGTATATACCGGACTTTGACCGGTACAAAGTTAGAATGTGTAATTTCAAAGGCTGTCGGCAAATTTTAAAATCAATTTTCTAATTACCTCTGTCAATTTTGTTTCTCTTCAAAAAAGATTATGCTTTCACAATGAGGTGTTATCAAATTAGAAATGAAACACCCAGGCTAAAAATAGCGACAATGACACATTGCGATACCCTCCACATTTCTGATTGATTGTTAGGGTGTAAGGTATCATGCACAATGAAAAGCGTGATCACATGTCTGATAGTTGCAGCAAAATGGCGGCTGGCAAGAAGACAACGCTGTTGTCTTAATTTGGTGGAAAAACACCAAATTGCATGAAGGTAACAAGAGAAAGTGTATCGAAGCTGAGGAGACTTGTAAGATGTCTAGTATGCTAGGTCTAGCACTAGTAGTGGTACTTCTTGATTGTGATTGAGTTTAAATTTACGTCACCTTTAGCAATATTCGAGCAATACCACGACAGGGGACACCAGGAATGGGTTTCAAACATTGTACCATGTGGGAAATCGAACCCAGGTCTTCAGCATTTAACCACTAGGCTACCCTACCGTCCTCTCTTACCTGCAGACCCCATGGGGTCAACTGTTTATACTGTGTGTACATTTCAACACTGTTTATCATGGTTTATACTGTGTGTACATTTCATCACTGTTTATACTGTGTGTACATTTCAACACTGTTTACACTGTGTACTTTCATCACTGTTTATACTGTATGTACATTTCAACACCGTGTATACTGTGTGTACATTTCAACACTGTTTACACTGTGTGTACATTTCAGCACTGTTTACACTGTGTACAATAAGTGTTTTCACTGTGTACATTTCATCACTGTTTATACTGTGTGTGCATTTCAACACTGTTTACACTGTGTGCATTTCAACACTGTTTACACTGTGTGTACATTTCAGCACTGTTTACGCTGTGTACATTTCATAATAAGTGTTTTCACTGTGTACATTTCATCACTGTTTATACTGTGTGTGCATTTCAACACTGTTTACACTGTGTACATGTCATAATAAGTGTTTTCACTGTGTACATTTCATCACTGTTTATACTGTGTACATTTCAACACTGTTTACACTGTGTACATTTCAACACTGTTTACACTGTGTGTACATTTCAACACTGTTTATACTGTGTGTACATTTCAACACTGTTTACACTGTGTGTACATTTCAGCACTGTTTACGCTGTGTACATTTCATAATAAGTGTTTTCACTGTGTACATTTCATCACTGTTTATACTGTGTGTGCATTTCAACACTGTTTACACTTTGTACATTTCATCACTGTTTATACTGTGTGTGCATTTCATCACTGTTTTCACTGTGTACATTTCATCACTGTTTACAATGTGCACATTTCAGCACTGTTTACACTGTGTACATTTCAGCACTGTTTACACTGTGTACATTTCATCACTGTTTATACTGTGTGTACATTTCAGCACTGTTTACAATGTGTACTTTCAACAGTGTTTACACTGTGCACATTTCATAATAAGTGTTTTCACTGTGAAAATTTCAACACTGTTTACACTGTGTACATTTCAACACTATTTACACTGTGTGTAAATTTCAACACTGTTTACACTGTGTGTACATTTCAACACTGTTCATACTGTGTGTATATTTCATCACTATTTACACTGTATCTATACATTTTATTATTGTTCATAGCCTGTGTCACGAGATATCTTATGATGACTGACTCTTCCATTACACACATCACATGATGAAATGTACCACTTGTTTCGTTTACCCGTATGACTCACATATCTTACTTTCAAACTCCATCATGCATACACATTTTTACAAAAACCTTTTCATCTGAATCAACAATATTTACCACCCAAACATAGTTGACATAACAATATTGTCATCTCATACTAATTGCAGCTAACGCCCATAAGCAGAATTGTTCACATTCCTGAAATTCATACATACCATTGTGATGTATTGAAGGTTCAAGACAGTGGTGGTAACCCAGTAGAAAACGCTGTTTATCCCAAAAGTAATACAAACTTGAAATCTTCACAAAAGCTTCACACAGTAAATGCTTCTACGACAAGTCAAAGAATCTGTTTCCAAAGCTTTCTCGCCAATTTGACATGAACAGTTTCCTTATATATAACGAGCATCACACTATATGAAATAAACCAACCAGGTAACCCTTCAGGATCAATCACAATCTTCAGACACTGACATGTACAATATTAACCTGCAATACCTGATATTCAGTCAGATGACAAGGTGTTATGTTGCTTAGATACAAAACACACGCTTAAACAGATAGATACAGCACTTTGTGTAAATAACATCTTTTGAGGGTTATTTGCGTTGTAAACGTTGTCTGTTTCAATGATGTTGTGCTGTAACTATTTGAACGAACATGTACATAACACAGAGAGGAAGACAATGAGGGATATAACAGTACATGTCATCGTGCTTGAGTTCAGGGGAGGATTGACTGTGATGTCTGTGGTGTATATGGTCTGAAATACCTGTGACATCATGGTGATCTGGGTCAGCCAAGTTTTGGGAAAGCTGGAATTTTCAAGGTAAATATGACCTCAGAATAGTTCCATTCGTTATCTATGCTAGATAGGCCACTCACAAATATATAAAGTGGAGCAGTGGGGTTAGAGTGTTTGTTCATCAGGCTGGAGGTCGACAAGATAACTAGTTTGAACATGTGGAAGACTCTGTTGTTTTGTTTTTAGTTTTATTGAATGTCACATTTGACCATGCCTTGTCTAAATGCAGTTGCAGGGTTCAAAATTACAAACTTATAAACTGAAAATAGCATCTGTTTGGCACTGTTGACACAAAATTGATAAGTTTTTTGTTTTGATTCTCAATACCAGTTGACAGTCTTCAATTACTGAATACTAGCATACATGGTTTTTACTTTACAGATTGTTCAGAAGTATGCCTAATATAATATTAAAATATTTTTTTATGTGGGAAATACCCAGACCTCATAATTTTAAAAAGGAAAATTATCTGGTGAGTCCCTGAAAATAAGTACTTATAAAAAATAAATAAGTAAAAGCTGGGATAAAAATAACCACCACCACCCCCCCCCCACCAACCCTGACTGAAAATCAAAGAGACACTCTTACATTTTCAAAAACGTTTCACAAATGCATATTTTCATGAGGTTGTCCTGCATTCCTCAATCATCCATGAATACAACAATGTGTGCAACATGTACGTAATCAGCTGATGCTGGCCCTCTACACTACACTGCCTCACAGTCATGAAATGGCTGGGCTCACGCAGTGTCCGTGGACAGAATACAACTCATCTGTCTGTCATTAATCATATAGTCTCAGTTGAGTAGTTATTCCATTCACCAAAATACGTGTCACCACCAGAGGCCCAGATAAGCTGTGTATCCGGGTAAAATATGCATAGAAAATTTCCATTTACACGTTGAAAAATAATTGTTGCGTACCAATTATGCATTTAAAATGTTAGATACGCAAAAAGTTTAAAACAAATGCGGACGGAATATATTTATAAACATTGCTTGCGTAATGAAAAAGACATCGATTGCTATCAAGTTGTACTGTTAGTATAGGACAAGTGTTGTACTGTCAGTATAGGATGAGTGATTTTTTATGAAATCATTTCCATTATATTTAAGTTAGTTAACTGATTAGGTATGACATAAGGCAGAACATACCTGTTTAGTAAACTTACTCAATGACATAACACTTAGGTGAGTAAAATGACTGAAATAGGCACATATTTGAAAACAGTGGGTAACGGAAAATGAAATACCCACTCAACATTCATAATACCCACTCCAAAAAAATACAGTGGGTACAGTATGATGAATGATATACAACAGTTAACACAACAGGTACATGTTAGGCAATATAGCCAACATGCCTGTGTGGGATACCATATAAATGTGAAATATTTTCATCTGAAATGTCATACATGTATTCCATTCAATGAATTCAAAATCAAAATTAATATATATAAAGCTCTTCTGCATGTTCAAGCAAACAGTTTAGGTGTGACCTAGAGAAAGTCACAGTGAGCTAGTAACACAGGTTTGACAAGTATTCCCGTCACATCATGTGTCAGATTCCATGTGTGAGGAAAGCACAAAGGATGCACATCATGGATGCAACATATGTTATATGTGGGACTACACCTTCTCAGTCAAGTGGGGCGGTGGGGTAGCCTAGTGG